GAATCGTTTTTCGTATACAATGATATAATATCATTGGATTCAAATTTAACTCCATCCATTACAGTAACCCACTTGTAACCTACTGTACAGCAGAGTGATATCCACTTTCCCGCTTTTTTCCAATTAAGTTATGAAAACATTTTTCACGTTTTTGGTAATTACTACCTATAAATATAGACAATATAGTACACCTACATACCTAATTAATATAGTAACATAGTAATATACATACTAACATTATACGTTTTGCATAACTATAATTTTTCAAATATATATAATTTGTTTCTTAGCATAATTTTAATTTTTCGTGTGTCATTGGAATTTGATCAACACGCCGTGTACAGTTATTATTTTTATTTTTGCAATTATAATTTACAGACTAACACTTACTCGAATATGAATGTCCAGAAGTATATCTTTTGGAGGTAATAAAGTGATTTTCAATTCAGACGAAATACACTCTTTATCAGGATGTACTACATGTGTTTCATCTTCAAAAATACCTTCGGCAAACACTGTAACTGCTTTTAAAATCATTGAATTGTTAGTTGACAATGTAAGTAAAACACATGGTTCCTATACAAACGAATATATAGTGAATAATAAAATATATCAACCATAAAACTATTATTAAAGACCAAAAATCAAAATAAACATACTATGGTCTCTTCCGAAACTGATACTTCAGTGATGAGCCGCGTGTCTCCCTAAACAAAAATATCACATTGATAAAAATAAATTAAAAATTATATGCGTAATGGCATATTATAATTTTAAATGGTAATTATAAATTCAACTGTTTTTGAAGAAATTATTTTTTCTCATGTGAAAATTTAAAATTAGTCAAATGTTTGATCCTATTCTATGATGATATATATTCTGATATCTTGGACGTTTTTAGAAATTTATTTTTAATTGTTAAAATTAAGTTAACATTTCAAATTGATCTGAAAAAAAGTTGAATATTTAAATACCTACAATCTACAATCTACATAACATATAAATCATATAATATACACTTTATGTATATCATAATAAAAAATAAATAATAATAAAATAATAAAACAAAATCTTACTGGAATGCCCTGGCCTTCATTAGAGGCTTTAGTGTAGTTATTTAATTCTGACATGAGTATTTGTCTCTTTTGTAAAAGATCGTGAATAACATTTGTTTGAACACCAGATTCTACCTTCAAACTTGTACTATCGTATCCTCGGACTAGAAAACCATGTTAATGACATTTAAATACAACAATTAATTACAATAAC